CGTCGGATGCTTTCTCCTTTGAGTGGTATTTTGGGCCCTGAGAGGAAGGTGCAGGTGTTTGAGGAGGCAAGGGACCAGCGTTGGGCTTGGGCGCGGAAGAAGGCGTAGGTGCAGACGCTGCTTTGGTTTCTTTTGGAGCTTTGCGCGGTCCTCTTGGCGGGGGAGCCGGCTGCTTGGGGTATTGGCGCCGTGAGGCTGCGCCAGCCGCTGATTTGGCGGGCTTTGAAGCAGCGGAACCCATTGAGAATGATGGGCTGTGGATCGGAAGTGTTGGTATAAGGCGTTGCAGCTTTTTGCGGAGCTTTGAGTCGAGGTTCCCGATGTCGCCTTGGCATTACGGCCTGGACTTCGGGTCGGTATTTTGCCAGCAGAACAGTCAAGCAAGACTTCTCACAAACCTGAGTATATGAGTCATACAAGTTAATATTTAGGAAAGTGTTAAGCAGAACTAAAGACGGTAGAGATTCTCAAGGATATTGAACAAGCCCCTGTTGAGATCAATGGCCTGATCTCTGAGGCAGGATTGCATAACTATATATACCGTCCTAGGCAGGCGGTAAAGGAAGCGGTCTATCTGTCCTGTCTTGTGACGTCAAAAATACAGTCAACAAACAGCTTCCTTAGGAGTATGAGATAGGTATCTAGCGAGATCCCCTAGGTAGAGCAACACATACTCGTCCGATATGTCTAGAAATGTCAAACCAAATGTTGAAGGGCGTTGGCGGGCAGCACATGTTAGCGCAGCTACTTATCTGGAGATTCCAACCCAACCCGTATTACAAACAATTGGGAGATGATCACATTTGAAGATCGGCGAGACTTTTGTGAAATTCCAGTGGAAACCCTGTTATGTGTTTTGCGAAAACATACTGGGTATCACTGCAGCTAAGATACATACCACCGGAACCTAGGACCACACGACAGTTTGGCAGCGCCGTGAGAGGATAAACAGGACCACGGTAGATAAATTCATGTATGTTCCGGAATTTTACCGGAGACCAGCAAGACGCCGGCCCTGCACTTCACCTAGCGCGCGGCTGCCACTAACAAATGCGACCACACCAACAACAGCCATCGCGGGAAGGACCTTGAACAAGTTCCACGAGGTATAGTAGAGGAAGAAGATTCCCTCAAATGAGATCAATGATCCGAGGAAGACAGCATGCGAGAGAGGGGCAGACTTGAACGCGGAGGGTAGGTGGTTGACGTTGGCGCCGAGGAAGAGCCACTAGAGACAATCTATAAGCAACGGCCTTGGCGCAAAAATGAGATGGACTTACCAAGCCAGCAAGAGCGGGGAAAGCAGCGCCGACCATGGCGACAAATGCCAAGGTTATGACAATTGGCGGGCTAGACGCAGAATCCTTGAAGATATGGTGGATCTCGGGCTTCTTGCCATATCGCTCGGTTTCAACGGTCGGCACGGCCTCTCCGGGGTTACGATCGATCGACAACTTGAACACAGAGCTATCGTAGGCATCGGAGCTTCCAAACCCGCCAATGACAACATGCGCATCAACTGGGCCGGACAGAGAGAGGAATTGAATCGGCAGGTCTTTCTGGGTCTGGAGGGCATGTGTTAGCTGCGCCGCGGAAAGTCTTTTCGGGGTTGCATACCAATTCGACTCTTGACTTGCCATTATCCTTGACATTGAAAGGGTAGGAGATATCCAATCCAGTTTGAGCATCTTTGAGCAAAAGGAAAGCCTGGTCTGGTCGCTTTGGAGAGCTGTCTTCCTGGGTTGTCAAGGTGACGCGTAAGGTATCGGCACCGAGAAGGGAGACGGGCTTGGAGAGCGGCTTGGATGCAGTAAGTCTAGTTTGAACACATTGATTAGTTTCATGTACCTTCTACTTGAGACAAAATACATACTTTTCCTTGAAACCTCCATTGACACCAGCACCTTTTGATTGAACGGCCACGGTGGCATCAGTAAAGCCCCAAGCTGTGGCGGCAGCGCCAGGTAGGGCAGCTGCAGCCAATAGGCAGAATGGGACGGTGGCCTGCCACAGATGCATTGTGAAAGAAATAACAGAAAATAAAACAGAAACTAACAGAAAACAGCTGTAGAGAGCTCGGGGAGATGGTGGAGGATAGAGGAGTTGCAGAATAAGGCGGACAAGTGAAGCCGATAAGCGCCGATCAACCATAGCCCTAATTTCTTTTCTGTCGACCTCAGCATCTTCCATCACTTTATTTCGCCTTATCTCGCACAAATACAATTCTAACGTCCGCCTAGTCCTTACAAGCTTGTTTATGAACACCCTAGAAAACAACTGCGGATGGTGGTACCTCTGATTTCGTGAGTTCTGCGCCTATATGTCGGGCCCTAATTCCCAACTTCTCCCCTTCCGTGCACTGCGGTCTTCTGACGTCGACCCTGCCCTTCACCTGATGACCCCCCTATAATGTTATCCACGCCCTAGTTGCCTGGTATTGGAGGTATGGGCTAGGCTTCCACTTATACAGTTCATTCACTCTATTTACTGCCCGTTCTATTCGCATGGATAGATTATACTGACAAATTGCGGGCCATTTAGCTTTAATTCACGATGCCTCCAAAGAAGGGCCAGCGTAAGTCAATGCCTGCGCGCATCAATAAGGCGCCTACATTGTCACCTTCCCGGCGCTCGCCCCGCGTACCTCGTCCGTCAAAAAGTACAAATGAGAGCATACAACCCGCCAAAACGTTGAACACATCCGCCAGTCCCAAAGACAGTTCTAGCAACATTCTTTTCTACACTCCGAATCCACCTGTTACAAGTAATCCACCTGCTTCAAATTCAAGTTCACGTGGAACGAGTCCCGAAACACCATCCTCGCGTCGGCGGGCGTTCCAGTCTCGTCCGTCACGCCTCTCAACTGTTTATCCTCCAGCCCTAGAAGCCCCGGCCACCAGCTCAAGTAGTCGACGGACAAGAAGAACAGCTGCACTTGAAACACCCCAGAAAGAAGTATCAGATATTGACTTTCCAGAGAGTAATGGTAGCGCCAGCTGGACATTTGACCAGTACATGGGCAGCTTTGAATCCGAAGGAACAGCCGATGGTCCCTCCAGCCCTACCAGTGCCTCCGATATGCGGAACTCATCCCGGGTTCGCAAGCCCACCATCAGGGCCATTGAATCTTTTGAATCAACTAAGAAGAAGCCTCGCCGCAAGAACATGACAGTGTCCGCCCCGACCGTCGAAACTCCTGCCCCTGCTACTCCTGCTACTCCTGTGGCTACCAAGGTTGCAAAGGTTGCGAAGGACAATGTTTCGAAGCAGCCAATGAGAAGAACAAGAAGGTCAAAGAGAATGACCAACTTGAACATGCGAAAAAATGCTGTCTTGATCGGTTTCGATGTTAACGTGAAGGCGGCTGGCCAGAGACTGTATGACTTGACAATTAAGTCCTTCAGCCCTGACTTTACTCCCCCTTTGAATATCCCTGTATTCTTGGAGCAACAACGAAGTGAATACTTCCGTCGCCAAGATGAAGAAAAATATGGCGTCGACATGCCCGCCAAAGCCACGCCGAGTGATGTCGATGTCGATGTAGATATGATCGACCAAGACCTCCCAGCGCCTGTGATCGCTTCTTCTTCTCCCACCCCACCCAACCCCCCCACTCCTCCTACTCCTCCCACTCCTACCACCGCAGTCACCGACGGCTCAAGCATCCTGAGCTACAAGAAGCAGTCTGACACCAAGGTTGGTAGCGATGGCTGGATTCAAACTGGCTACGTTAATTCCAGTGGTGAAGAGGTTGCTTTGCTCCCCGAGAATTGCCATCCATATTACCCGTCCCATACTTACGGCTACGAGGGTCTCCCTTTTCCACCAGTGCGCGCCAGAACCAGCCAGCAGGCCGAGGCCGATGCCACTCACAGCTTCGCACCACTCCTGGGAGACCGTAACCTCCCATCTGATGCGGTGGCCCCATTCGTCACTGAAAATGTGGAGGAGGAAAAGGCTAGGGCTCTGGCTCGGGTCCCTGTGCCAACCCCTGCGACTAAGAAGCCTCGTACCCGAAAGCGCCGTCAAACCGCGGCCGCCGATGAGCCTGCCGCAGCCGTTCCTGCTGCTACTACCCCCGAGACCGGCGCACGCAAGTCACAGCGGCGCCGCCGCCAGACCGCTCCTGCTCCCACTCTCCTGTCTCCCACCTCTTCCCTTAACACTGCGACTGAGGTCCAGTCTTCGGGCCCGGCTGCCGCCGTCGCCCCCGCTGCCATCGAGGGCGATAAACCTAAGGTGCAGCGACTCCGGTTGACCTTGAAGCCGGCGCCCAAGACTGAGGCCTCCGGGGTTCGAGCATCTGCTTCCAAGAAAGGCCCCGCCACGCAGTCCCTTTCCTCCCCCGCCCCCCCGCGTTCGCGTGCGCCGTCCTCCGCACCGACCAACAAGCGCCGCCGCCGCCGGGGCATGTGAGGCCCCTGTGAGGGCAAAATGATGAGGCATTCTGCCCGGCTGATGCCGGGCGATGATTATCACTCTTCGTTTTCTTGTTTTTTCGCTATCGACCTTTTTGTATGATTGATTACCAGCGGGCGTTTTCAAGCATGTATGATTAGCATCGCGGGGCATACCATGGAGTTCATGGTGAATTATGAGATTTTTTAGTTGTCTTTGTCCTTGCCATTAGTATTGCTTCATTTCCTACTCTTTTTGCCCTCGTGGTCCTCGTAAAAGGTAGAATCTGACATGTCACACGGGTCGACTTTCTGCTTACTTTTGCCTGATTTACTTTGTGCGTTCATTCGCACATAAGGCAGGATCTGTCACCTAGGCACCTCCCTCATCTCATCTGACCTCTCTTTCTTCTTTCTTCTCCTCTCCCATCTCTTCTTTCGCTTTTCTCGCTCTCTAGCTACCTCCAACTTTCATCGATCGACCCCGGGATAAGGTAAGGATGACTCATTACTCCACACCTTATCCAAAACGTACTCAGACTATATAGTTTCGGACGCCAGAAATGTCGTCGATACCATTTCGAAAAGCTCATATTGACCACTATGTCCGATGGCTCAGACTCAGACTCCACCGACATCGAGTTCTTCCGGGCACTACCCGATGACACATATGAAGCCATCAGGTCAGAGGCCAGTGCTATCCGGAGGATCATAAAAGAACAGAAGGAACTTCCCTTCAGGGTGATCAAATACTACTACTTCGAAATGTCTCGCCGCAACACTACGCGGATATCACATCAGCCATGGCAGAAGGGTTTGATCAGAGGGCGCAGAACCGACATCCATCGCTGCCTCCGCCGCTAAATCACCCTACCACAGCACCCCATCTTGACTGGAGCCTATGAGACCGCCTCACGCGGCCTACTTTTTGAAGTACAAAATGTGGTACACGATATGAGCCTAGCGCAGTCGATCCATCCGGTAGGGTCCAAACGCGTCCGAGGTGTGTCTTCTTCAAAGCAGGCAGACGATTCGTGGGCCCTTACGCAACCTGTTCCAGGTCGCAATGCAAAATGGCCGACCGTTGGGGTCGAAGTTGGAGTCTCTGAGACATATCGAAAGTTGAAGGCAGATGCATGGTGGTGGTGGCTTACAAACTCAAAGGGCGATGTGAAGCTTGTGATTATCGTATCTATCAATCGACAGAAACCTAAAATTAAGAAGTCATCGGGTTATTCTTTTAGGACTTTGAAGATGTGCTTTAGTCTTAATTAAAATGTAGTTTACAATATCTATAATCAGTGGTTGAAGTACAGTCAACTTCGTCTTCCTATTGTAGACAAGCTTATAGTAATGCCTCAGGCGCCAACACCTCCCCGAATCTTCCCTCACAGAATTCACATCCTCCAACACACCAAGCAAACCATGTAAGCACGTCCCAGCAATTTCTTCTATGATCAGATTTGTCTAACAAAAGCCAAGAATAATGTCATCCCTCAAAGACCAGCAAAGATACCGATCCGTGGATCCCAAAACCCGGCCTCCACGTCCAATTCAACAACCCGCTGCTTCGCGGCTCCCTAAGGGGGTGGATGATATCCGGAAGACAAAGGAGTACAAGACTGCTGCACGGAGGTAAGTGCCATCATCTTCTGTCTTCGGCTCTACTTCTATGTTTTTGTTTGCTTGGTTGGCGAATATTACATGGCAACAATGAGAAATCTAATCGTCTTTAGATGGACAACGACTATTGTCGGACTACCGATTGTAATATATACATCATGGATTCTTTATGAGCGACGTGAGTACTTTAATGCCCAGGCAATCTTAACATTCTTTTTATTGCATATACACTAACTTATTTCCTTTAGTCTATCTTGGCAAGAGTCCTAAAAGTCGGGAAGATCAGAAACAGAAGGATTAATCTGCTTCTTTTTGTTTTTAATTCTTCTGGAAGCGGGACTCTCTGTACGATCCAAAATAGAATGGCATTTGAAAGGCTTTACAACTGTACATAAGAAGCCCTGAAACAATCTGTCTTCTCTCATCTCTATCTAGAGCAGTCTCTTGAGGGGGAGACAAATCCGGTTTAATGCATTCATTGTAAAATCCAACGCCCGGAGTCTCAAAATATATCCATGGCTATGGATAGGCGAGAACAACCTACCCAGCCGAAATAACATAAACAGAAGAAAGGTACAACATCCAGATGCATGATTCCCAACTTTGGAAATTCTGCCCTAAATCCTCCCCACATTGCCAGCCTGCTGGGGTGAAAAGCAAGAAGAAGAAGTATATATAATCCAAATAAGGTATCTGGAAGAGATGGAAGAGATCATCTAAGAAACGAAGTGACAGAAGGATAAGGTGGGGGAAAGAGATCGTATAGACGTCACAGCCCTTAGCTCTAGGAACCATCAACTGGCAACGCCTTGGAAAGGAACCTGTTGATCCCCCGAGCCAGCCGACGGCGGCATAGATATCGAGTTACCGCTAGCGCTAGCGGGCTTCGAAGTACGCTCACGCATGCGACGGCCCTCCATGAGACCACGCAAGCCGCGCTTCTGAAGGCCGATGACACTGCTTAGATCACCGGTCCAGAGCTCACGTTGGGGGCGGCGCAGCTCGGCGTCTACGTCACGGTGGTGATGGGTAGAGCGGGACTGCGAGCGGCTTTCATCGCCACTAACCCATTCGGAGTCGGACTGGCTGAAACTAGCGCTGGACGCGGATGTCGCTGTGCTTGGATTGCTAATAGAATCCTCGCGGTCGCGGCGGGATCTGCGTTGGCGCGAATGCAGGGAGACACTGGTATCAATGCGGAGAGATGGAATACCTCGAGCAAAGCTGCTGAGAGCGCCTATGCTGCTCGCTACTGATGCGGAGGCACCGCCATGCTCTGTGTCGGACGAGCCTGATGTGAGTGCACCGTGTTGGGAGTCGCTGTGTTCGCCCATTGTGGGCGCAGTGCCGTTGTGGCCGGTGTAGGCTCCATTTAAAGCCTCAAGTGTACCCCCTGGTCCACCATTGAATCCAGTACCGCGACCACCGCCGGCGGCCATGGCAGCTGCGTTGAATACAGCCGCGGCGTTGCGCCCGTCAAGAATCTGATGGAGTCTTTCGACGGTGGCCTCTAGGAGTCCGTCAATTTGGTATGGGCGTGCAAGCTGTAGAAGCGAGCAGAGAATTTGTGGTGTGCAAAGCGAGGTGCCTACGGCTGGGAGAGCTGAGGTGTAGAGGTACTGAACCAGCACTTGAAGAGTCAAAATGGTATGGGGGAGATACAGCACACGCGGTCGGGAGGTCGGGGCAAGGCTGTGAGCAGATGGAACTTCAAGATTCTCAAGCAGAGACTTCGAAGGTACAGACTGATTGACAAGAGTTGTTGCATCGGAGCCTATCGAAGGGGTGATAGTGATGCTCGAGTTGCGGCTCGGGTGTGTCAGGGACGGACGAAGAGATGCGATGTCTGCAATACCTCCGTCCGACGACTCGCGAAGAAGTTGGATAAAGTACGGACCCCAGCGCCGAGTTAATATGCGAGAGTTGACGGAGATACATTCTCCCCCTATAGCCTGCAATTCCATGTCGGCCATCTCTGGCAAAGATTGCGCGAGCTTGCCTAGCTCATCGGATGCGGCAGACAATGGCCGCCCACCCGATGTCAACTGCACTAGCTTCTTTTGCAAGGATGCCGGAACAGAAGAGGAGCTGTAAGACTTATATCCCGATGTTGGAGAAGTGCGGCAAGCATTGTTGTAGAGTCCAAATGCCTCTAGTTCGACCAGACAGACGTGCGAGAAGTTGATTCGTCGGTGGTTGTAATCATCGACAAGGCTGCGCTTCCGGTGTCCAAGAATCACAAAAGAATTACGGCGAGGCCAAAGCACTCCCCGATTCCAACTACCCTGCCCAAACACCGATCCTCCAGCATCAATACGGCCCCAAGTCAATGTTTTCAGGTCGAGAGCCCACAGCGCATATTCTTGCTTCGATGAAGTCAGGTATGTACCACTGACAACAAAGTGGCCGTTGATAATGCCACCGTTTGGGAAACGCAGTCCCGGCGGGGACGCTTGGCTCTGCATTGGTCGTTCGACAAGGCGTCCGTCCGGCAGGCGCACCTGCAACTCCAGCTTGACATCAAGGAAATTGTAATTGGAGTATATCAGCATAGGGCAACCTGGAGATTCAGTGCTATCTTGAATCGGCTCGTGTTGATCACGGTCTGGAGCTGAGGATCCAATTTCGGACACATTCATTCCCACTAGAGGAGCTACGACACTGCGATAAGCACCGCAGCTCCTTCCCAAGGGGCTCGTGTTGGTCCATTTGAGACTGCGCAGGTTGAAAACACTGATTTGTTCGATGTAGTGATTAGAACTGTCCTGTCCTCCGACCACCACCATCTCCGCACCCCCAAAGCCATCAATATCCACACCAAGTGTACCTTGATGAGAGGAGGATTCAGGGTTATTGTGAATGGCGGATAGAGGTGCACTGGCAGATGTGAAGCAAGCGCTCGACGGCAGTATCGTGGCACAGTGTGCGTAGCGCCCCTGAGGAGATTCATGGGCAGCAACACGGGTCCATGCCCGCGTTGGTACATCGAAGATGTGAATATCCGACATAACCACGACTTCCGATTGTGACTGCGATTGCGGCTCCGCCGGGTTCTCATGGTCTTTTAGCGTAGGCGCAGGTGACATGCCTCCATAACAAACCAACTTGTTGTCCCCCAAAGCACACACACTGTGGAAGTATCGCGGCGGTGGAACATCTCCAGCGGGCTCAACTTTCGTCCAATGTCGTCGAATCAAGTCCAACTCATAAAGGTTGGAGGTGAGTTGGGGACGGCTGCGTGAGAGGATCCGGCCTCCGAAGACGTATAGCTTATCCCCCAGTATAGTCGTAGTGGCACCGACGAGCGGACGGGGTTCCTTGCCGGTCGTTCGCCGCACGTTGCACACCAGACCAGAGAGGTTGATAGGACCAGAGGAAGGATGCTGGTTCAAGGACGGAGAGGCCCCCGGCGCAGAATCCTCTCGCCCTGTATCCCCCATATACCCCAGACTCGACTGACTTCGCGACATCATGGTGGGCGGGTTTCCTGTCCGCTTTTCAACGGAGACAATCGTGTGGGTAGCCGTTGACCCCCTGTTTCAGTTCTCCCAATATCGCTCGCATGCGATGAGGCGTTTTTCTCTCGAATGCGTCTTTCTGGGACAATTTTCCCGGCGCTGATCGTAGGTGTGGTACGGCTCGAAATGGTCGTTGTGGGGAGTCGAAAAAGGGGGTGTCCCCGCGACGCCGCAACTTTGGCTCCAGGCTGGCTTCAGAACGAGGAAATTGATGGATAAAAACTAGGCAGACAGACTAACGCCGATCGTATCTTAGATGAGCGCACAGTCCTGGCCGAAGTGTCAGCCGTCGAGGTTGAAATCGGCACAAAAAATGTTTACCGCTTTTGTGTCTCCCCATAACTACCCCTAACTATAGCAATCCCTTCAAGGAACGCAATGCTCTTAACTCATGCATTTACTAGGGGAATCAATCTTTGCTCTGAATAAATCTCCAATACTCTATGCTTTGTGATACTTTCCCATAGGTCCCTTTCTACACCATTTATCATGATCTTATCTTATACCTTTTATCCTTCTGACTCCGGACATACAAGGAGAGAACAGAGGAGAAGGGGAACAAGAGGTGACGAACTTGCCGATTTGGACTTGACACCAAAAATGAAGCTGCATCTGCTCGGAGGGAGAGGCGTGGAAGAAGAAGATGTACTAACTTACATTCACGCCATGTTGTGTAAGAGCGCTGATGTGCGCCTCTTTGTATATTGGCTTTGTCCCTCCAAGTTTACTCTTCCCCCCTTTCTCATAAGTCCCATCCATTGTCCTCACAATTTAGCTAGATTTGATAGAATATCGAGAAACAGTTGAGTGCTGGTTATAGTGCTCCACGATGGCACCCGCGTGCTCTGAAGCATCAATATCAACAATGAAGCCTGATGGAAGTAAACCTCTAACAAATATGAGGAATCGGGCGACGAATCTATTCTCGCCCAAGGCTTCGGGCCTCGGATTGAATTGATCGATCTAGAAGACATAGATGAAAATACAGATGAAGACTTGGGTGATGTTTGTCAGGTCATCCGCACCATTCCAGGTATGATGATATCAACCGGTTTATTTCGAACTGGGCGGCACGTGGCTTGAAAAACGTTAATATCTGTGATTGAGGAATGACAATAATGATCATATTTATAGCAACCACTAAGAAATGTCCCTAGAGAATATCGAAACTATAAACCAGGTATTGCATACTATTCAAGTCAGTGAATCCTTCACCCAGTCACTTTATTCGCTCCTTGTATTACTCTCTGTGACTGCTAGTGGAAAGTCTATGTGCTCTACGAAGTACTGCATATCACATGCCCAGCCTCAAATACCATTTACATATTAAATTAAGCGAGCATATGTCGTTGTTTGTCTCATTTGTGAATAGTGGCATAAACCGACCGCCCTCAGGATACCTATAAGAAGGTGGCCCTGCCCCCAGAACTTCTTCTTCTTTTCTTTCTTCTTCAGCTCTCTTTGCCTCTGGCTTAGATCAAGTGTAGTATCTGTTCTATTCAGTTTAATCGCTGAATGTTCTGCATTGCAGAACGTCATGATTATTCCAATATTTGGACCTCGCGACTTGGCCTCTGTGCTTGCATATGCCTTGTTGCACTGTGTCATTGGGCTTACACTACCCCCGATCGACGCGAACTCCTTTTCATCAACTGTTCGGCTTTTCCGGGCGCTTGGAGAAGAGAATTTCCAACAGCAACCATTGTTATTATAGTGGGGATGATACCTTCCACCTTCTCTTCTAGTAGTCATCCCATGGTGTTCTCCTCTCTAGCACCCTACTACTCCCAGGGCCGACTTTGCTCTCATCGTGTTTCGCAGGCAGGACTGTCAGTACCCCTGCTGCCTCCGTTGCCTCCGTTGCAGGGACCCCTCTTCAATATCTATAAATCCCTTGAATGCGACTGAATCTCAATTAATTTGATTCAATTAGGACTTTGACTTATACATTACTTTGAGTGAATAATTACAAATTGCCCAAACGTGTCCCTGAGCACTCATATACTACGGACGCTCCATGATATAGTGCTATCCAAGGAAGTCAGAGATGGATTTAGAACTACTAGGATAGACAGTCTGGAAATATCGCAATACATTGAAAAGAGAAGGAACTATCTGAGGACCTACGACTAAACAATCTGAGGGCAAACAGGGAGATCCCACGTAATCTCTCAGCAAATTCCTACAAAGGTGCATAATTAAAAGGGATAGCGTAAGTTGGTTTCATTAATATTGGGAGGAAATTCTGTCCCAAGATGAACCCGTCTCATATTCAGCATCATATCATAAGACTTCGTTTACTCCTTGAGAGTGGTGAAGCGAAGGTAACTATGAGATATTAGTATCCTCTTTTCGAACTGGCAGTTGGACAAGGAAACTCACGGCTTCACTTCACGGATCTCGCCGAACTTCTTCTTGGCATCCTCGGTGCTAACTGTAGGTGGCACAATAACGTCATCGCCAACCTTTGATCGAGTCAGTAAGATACTTCGCAATAGTTGCGGAGGATGGGGATCATACCAGCCAGTTGATCGGGGTGGTGACACCTCTCTTATCAGCGGTCTGGAGAGAGTCGACAACCCGGAGAACCTCTGCTGTGTTACGGCCAGTGGAGGCGGGGTAGGACATGATCAGGCGGATCTTCTTGGCGGGGTCGATGATGAACACGGAGCGGATGGTGAAAGCAATGCCCTTGCTGTCGACGTTGGTCAAGTCCTGCTGGTCAATCATCTGGTAGAGGAAAGCGATTTTGCGGTCGGCATCGGCGATGATTGGGAATTTGAGTTGAGTCGAGGCGACTTCGTTGATGTCCTTGATCCACTCTTCGTGGGAATCAAGCGCGTTGGCACTCTAGAGACAGCTGCGTTAGTCAATACTTCAAAGTTGTCATCCTTGGAACCTCACCAATCCAATCAACTTGACACCACGCTGGGTGAACTCGGGCTCGAGCTTGGAGAAGGCGCCGAGCTCAGTGGTACAGCTATTGATTGTCAGTACACGGCTTCACAGAGGTCAAGAGGGCTGGAAACCACTGACACTGGTGTGAAATCCGCAGGGTGCGAGAAGAGAATAGCCCACTTGTCACCAATGAACTCGTGGAAGTCGATCTCGCCCTGGGTGGTGAGAGCCTTGAAGTTGGGGGCAGTAGAGCCCAGACGGAGGCTAACAGACGATCAGTATTGTGTATGCATCTTAAAGATAGAGGTAGTAGCTTACATAGGAGCTTCAGCCATTGTGAATAGATAGATCGGTCAAATTGAATTGGAGATGAAAAGGAGACAGGAAAGTAAGATCGAGTTGGCGAGATACGAGGTTAATAACATCCCCTCCGGGTTTCCCATAGATACATGGATTGACCCCACCTTAACCTCATCTGGCGGGTTCCTGTCCCACCGCGGCTTCGTTCTTGATGGCGTGATCATTGTTCCGCCCGGCAGAACGGCCATGATTGGCGCATGCACGGCAGCACACGGCGTGGGCTGTTTAGCGTGCGTGATGCAATATCAACTGTGGATGAGCATTTCGGGTTCCTTGGGTTTCTTTTTACCCCTCAACCTTACCTAACCTTAGGTTAGAGACTACAGGTGGACATTACCTACATACACTATGTTGTACATGTAGTTCTTGCAGGTAGGGGATTTGCCGATGTATCACTACTACCACGTTATTGTCTTTACTATACCCTTTCCTTCTAGCCATTGGACGCCTAAATGGAAAATGGCAATTTTGACTTTCCTATAATTATCCCATGGGTGGTTCTTATTAGGTACATATCTACATTGGCCATTGTCATAACCAGAGTAGCTCGATATAGTTGAACCTATCAGTTTTCTGGCTGCGTTGTAAGCAACTCGATCTTATTTCAAGCAATCAAGGAATAGGACTGAATCAATATGTGCAGGCTACCTAGCATGGAACGATTCCTATCTAATGTTTCTACATGAACTGAAACAACAACCTTGGAAGTTTGTACTATTGATTGTGTAAGCCCTAAACTAGTTAACTATGTACCCTCTTTCAAGCTTATTCGGCCGACATGATTTTGGTCAGGACCAATAGAAACCCAAAGTGATGGCGCAATATCGCCTCTACATGATGAATGGTATCCTGCCATCGAAAACTCACTATGAAGTAAAATATACCTTGTACGTCAGGACAAGGGAGGCCTAACACATGCAAATCTGTATATCTTCTCCACGCCGATTTTAATCCGACATTCTAGACAATTCTGATTCAATGAGTATTTGACCCACATACATATGTAGTGGGGCTAATCGAGGCACATATTATGCCCACATCATCTGAAAATACGTTCGTCTTCTGCTGCCTCCAAGTCTGATATTACCTTCACACTATAACATCAACAAGGGCCGCCTTGAAGCTATGATACAGTACATTTTTCCAAAGTTGGTTTTCATTAGAAAAGAGTTGGCTTAAGGTGGCGGACTAAACAATATATGTGGTCAGGCCAGTACGATCATCTATATGAATAGACTTATAGTGAGCTTAATTAACACTATTTTGAATATACTGGTTGAATCTGGACAATAAATCTTGATACCTTTATCCACTTCGGTCTCTCAATATGATCTTAGATATTTGATTGACGGCGTAAAATAAGTATAGATTTAAACTTCCGGCTGCTATTAGAGATATTCTCAGAGAGGATATTCGGCGCGAGTTGCTTACTCTAGAGTTGAATATATATCTTCTTCAAAACATTTGAAATAGTTCTCAACATCAACATGTACTTTTCAGAATAAAGTCAGTGTCTTCATCTTCAAATTTATGTACTTAAAGAAAGAATGTTGACCAAGTGGCTTAGCTTTGATAACCGCACAAAAGAGACAGTGCTACGCTTTTATGTACTTCTAGTAACCAAGCCCAAAGACACTAGTCATGCCTCAAATGTTAATAATCATTAGTCGCAGTAGCAATTGAAGGGATTCTAAAATAACAGTGATAGATGCCTTGATGGCCATCGAGGTTATTTCCATAGAGAACTGTGTACTTCTAACGGTTTGTAGTGCCGATCATGATCGACCTCATCACGTGCGACCCCAGACCCACATCCGCGTCAAGCTCAGTGCCAAACATTCCAGGAAGCTCCTGCTTCAACTTGATTTGATAGCTTTTTGAACAGATCGCGGGATCCTTACCCCATTGATTGTACAGTTCCATTTAATTATACTGCATTTACTGCACTTACTACGCTTCCTGCATATATTCGCTGCCTTGCACTGTCACTTAATCAGTGCAAAACAATTGAACAGTCATGCCACCCAAACGCAAGTCTGAACGCGCCGTGAGCGCAAATGAGTCTGTCTCAACGCCTTCCAAACGGCTTCGAAATAATGTAGATGCAACTCCAACTTCTGCAGCTCCAGCTTCTGCAGCATCGGCTTCGGTGGTAAGCACATTATGCAGGGGCTGATCGTCGCGTCCCATGGCTTCTCCACTCCAACGGTTGACATAGCGCTGACATGTGTGGAATAGGTTGATGCTACACCCCAGACTGGAGAAAAGAGAGGCCGTGGGCGTCCACGTAAAAATCCCGAGAGCTCTGCTCCCAAGCCTGTTTCTGATGCCCCTAAACGTGGCCGTGGTCGTCCACGGAAGATTGTTTCTGAGCCAGAACCTGAGGTTGTAGCCCCAACGGGCCCCAAGAGAGGCCGTGGGCGTCCCCGCAAGGACTCAGGTATGTATATATGATATGTGGTGGGTGATATATGCTGACCTTGGACTGTGTTATCAGGCAATGCGACACCCGTCACACCGAAGATCAAGAAGAAGGATGGTCGTGGAAGACCCCGCAAGAACCCTGTGCCAAATGAAGAAGCCGAAATCACCGAGTCAAAGGTCACGCCTGCGACCAGCGTCATTCCCGAAACTGGCCGCTCCTTCTGGCTGATGAAGGCCGAGCCTGAATCTCGCCTAGAAAAGGGCAAGGACGTGAAGTTTTCTATTGATGACTTGGCTGCTGCAGAAGCACCCGAGCCTTGGGATGGTACGTCGAACCTGTCTCGAATACTGCATATAGGCGATCGCTAACAGATGAACAGGTGTGCGCAACCATGTTGGTAGGTTGTCCTGTCTAAAGTCACGGTAGCTTTGACCACAAGAATGATACTCACAGTCAAATAGCCAAAAGTCTCATGCGCAATATGAAGAAGGGAGACTTTGCCTTCTTCTACCACTCGAACTGCAAAGTCCCTGGAGTTGTGGGAGTGATGGAAATTGTCCAGGAGTATTCCACTGATGGTTTGTTGCCCTCGAAATTACACTGCTTGATCATATCGCTGATCCACAACTCATGACAGAGTCCGCTTTCGATCCCAAGCACCCATACTACGACCCGAAGTCCAAGCGAGATGACCCAAAGTGGGTCGTCGTCCACGTTGAATATCGCCGCAAACTTGGGAAGCAAGTCACCCTCCAGGATCTGAAGTCTCATGGCCAGGCCGGAATGCCGCTCGAGAATCTCCAAATGATTAAGCAAACCCGGCTTAGTGTGTCTTCTGTGACCCCAGCACAATGGAAATACATACTGGAGCTGGCAGGCGAGGAACCACAAGAGGAGTTCATCAAGAAGGAGTGAAGGAGGAATAGGCATGAGGAAGCAAGCCGCTATATGCAAGCGATGCACAGAGAGTTTTATCTCGTATAATTCTCCCAAGTATTTTCTATCGGCGGCGTTGTCGGTTGAACATGGGTTATCTGCACAAGCGAATTGAAGCGTATTTTATTTGACTCGATGTGTCCTTTATAAATATGTGCCAAGGGATAGACTCACCGGAGGAGTCCGCTTCTCTTGGATCTATTCGCAACAGCAGCAATGTCATTGCCATACGGGCTGATCGCATTGCTTTGCAGCTTGACCATTCCCCGATGGCCGACATCCACCAGCCCGATTTGGCACTTACGGGATGGTGTCATATCGCTCTTGTCACTGATCGCCCTCACACATGTGTGCCCAAAGTTATCCAGTCGTCCGGACCAAGCTGGGTCAGAATTGTCTCAAACCTTTGGAAACACCCGTCGGACCCTGGTTAATGCATACGCGGTGACGGATCTAGAAGGCGGTATCGGGTATGTCTATAAAAGTCAATATTTTCCGCCACCATATCCGCACTCAGTCGATCAATTATCCTTGGCATCCGGCGCCCAGTTCGGAGTCATGGAACACGGCCTGAGCATCCCGGAGCTATGACGCTATGTATGTGCAGGTCTGCAGCTGTGGGGTACTTTAAACGTTCATGACAAAGAATAGATTGGACCTCCCGAGGTCGGGCTAGTCATACTTTGTAAGCAGAAGGGATTGGCCCGGGGTCTCATGAAGAAACGAGGGGAATACTCGCCGAATGCGGGCTGCCAGCCAATCAGAGAGCGAGATTAGTGCAAATCTAACAAACCAACGGAGGACGGAGACTCGGAAGAGTAAGTCTATCCGGGTGGAGCGTCTTTATCGGCTTATCAGGCGGGGAGCTCATCGGGCGACTTGGAACTTTTTAGCCCTAGGGGGTTTCCCCTCCTCTATTAACCCCCTCTCTCCCTCCCTCTCTCTCCCCCTCCATGTCCCGTATTCACCCACGCTTTTTGTACAAAGGTCCATCAACTCTTACTTCCTTCATCGCCCCGCGTCGCTCATTCCACAGCTCCCCCTTCGTCATGTCTGAACTCTCAGTGTACCTTACTGCCCCAAATGGGCGCAAGTACAATCAGCCCATCGGTCTCTTCATCAACAATGAGTTTGTGGCTTCTAAGTCTGGCGAGAAGCTTGCTTCTGTGAACCCTTCGTATGTACACCTCTGAAGTGTGTTGTGTGACTTTGAGTACTGACCAGATCTCCAGCGATGAATCTGAGATCACGTCAGTGTATGCTGGCGGTGAGGAGGATGTTGATATCGCCGTCCAGGCCGCTCGCAAGGCCCTCAAGGACCCCTCCTGGAAGCTACTGCCCGCCACTGAGCGTGGTGTCTTGATTTCCAGGTTGGCGGACTTGATTGAGCAGCACAAGGAGACTCTGGCCACCATCGAGACTTGGGATAATGGTGAGTAAAGTGAGCGATTGAGTATCAAGATACGAACTGACATATCTTATAGGCAAGCCGTATCAGGTCTCTTTGAATGACGATATCGGTGAGGTCACCAACACTCTCCGCTACTATGCTGGCTGGGCCGACAAGGTGTATGGCCAGACCATTGGTACTACCCCGGCCAAATTCGCCTACACCCTCCGCCAGCCTATTGGCGTTATTGGCCAGATCATCCCTTGGAACTACCCCCTAGCCATGGCAGCATGGAAGTTGGGCCCCGCGCTTGCGTGCGGTAACACTATCGTTCTCAAGCCCGCCGAGCAAACCCCGCTCAGCATTTTGTACTTGGCCAGTCTTATCAAGGAGGCCGGTTTCCCCCCGGTGTTATTAACGTTGTCAACGGCCATGGTCGTGTTGCTGGTGGTGCGTTGGTCACCCACCCCGGTGTCGATAAGGTCGCCTTCACTGGTTCCACCATCACCGGCCGTGAGATCATGAAGATGGCCGCAGGCACCCTGAAGAACGTTACCCTTGAGACTGGCGGCAAGTCGCCACTGGTCGTCTTTGAGGATGCGGACCTCGAGCAGGCCGCCAAGTGGGCACACACTGGTATCATGTACAACCAGGGTCAGGTCTGCACTGCGACATCACGAATCCTTGTGCAGGGATCTGTATACAACAAATTCGTTGAGCTTTTCAAGCACACCGTCCACACCACCAGCAAGGTCGGCGACCCCTTCCACGATGACACCTTCCAGGGCCCTCAGATCACCAAGGCCCAGTATGACCGGGTCCTTGAATACATCGAAGCCGGCAAGGCTGAGGGTGCCACGCTCGTTTCCGGCGGCGTGGCGCACAAGAACGTCGGTGATGGACGTGGTTTCTTCGTCGAGCCCACTATTTTCACCAACGTCACGGACTCGATGCGCATCTCCCGCGAGGAGGTGTTCGGTCCCTTCGTTACTATCGCCAGCTTCACCACCGAGGAAGAGGCCGTCAGCCGTGCTAACGACACCACATACGGCCTCGGCGCCGCAGTCTTTACTCGGGACATTGAGCGCGCCCACCGTGTTGCCGCCGATATCGAGGCTGGTATGGTCTGGATCAACAGCAGCAACGACAGTGATTTCCGCGTGCCGTTCGGTGGTGTCAAGCAGAGTGGTATCGGTCGCGAGCTCGGCGAGGCTGGCTTGGACGCGTACTCGCAGATCAAGGCTGTGCATGTGAACATGGGCACCAAGTTGTAAGCTGTTTATATCAACGAGGAATGGATCTCTTCCATTGCAAATTAGTTGATCTGTCATAAGTTGATTTGTATATAATGACCGAACCTTTTGTTCTCATCCCTGCAAAACGCAAACACTGTATATCTATTTGGTCTTGTTCCTATGTAGCCCCACAGATCTCGACGGGACAACCTCAATCTCATGTATCGCCTCCACTTCTCTCGCTCTCGCTCAGATACCCGCAAAAAGGGGAAAAAGGAAAAAACGGAAGATCGAACTACTGAGTGCACAGCCCAGGTAAAGTTACTTCTCGTCATGCAGATCAGGCCCTGCACCGTGCAGTGACATGACGGCAAGTAATTGTCCCGTGCGCAATCAGGAGAAAAAGGAAGGGGAAAACCCAACTCTCACAGGCTCTACGTTGTATATCCATCACCTTCGCGTTAGACAACTGGACTTGCACAATTGATGCCCAACTTCTTCCGCCCGTAGCTGCGATGATGCAGGCCTTATCTGCACGCAAGCCTTACCTGGACCATATGGGGCAGGGTGCATTTGAGGATTGAACTGAGCCGTTGAAGCTGATTGGTCGAATGATGCTTACTTTGTATAGGTTCACCTCGGTTATTGACCCCGTACTAGTAACTAGTTAAGTAACTAGTTAACTATAACTACCATCTCTTACTCGATCTGATTATCAGTTCATATTGAAAAAGGTGGATCCAACACAACCCAATTCCCACCTCTCCATCTATCCCTGCATGACCCATCACGCCCTAAAATCAAGGTGATACAAGCCGGCTGCAGGCACATTCTCGCAGACATGCATGGCACGGATGGAAATTGCAAGGCGGGAATATTTTTTTTCAACTCGGTATTTGGGCGCAAATGTCGAGTCAGGCAGGAAAAGGGCCAGATTACTCCTCGAACTCTGGGATTGGTAGTCAAGAGTAAGTGCAGGTTCCAGGTCTAGGTCTTAGCGCCCACCAGCACACACATGCATGAATCTCTTGCATCTGCATGCAGAGTCGGTCATGTGAAAAGCCACCTGGCGCCGGTCTGGAAGGTGATCTGACGGTACTTTTTGACGGGTACTTGCTATCATGATTGAGTTCTCGAGCCCCGAACTCTATGTATGGCTTGGCGGCTAGCTGCACGAATTGATGCAGAAGAGAAAGTTTACGCATAGTATCCGTAGTTCATGGGTATCTCAGAGTTCAGAGCTCTGGTGTGATGATTCGCATTGCAGACACGGGATTGCTGCAGGAGATTCAATAGCGCGTGGGATTGGAGAGTTTTGGATTTTGATTCAATTGCCGAACGGACTTGGATCCCTGCAGCTGTCCTACAAGTTCGCCCGAAAAGAAAAAGAAAAGCAGGATAGCATCTCCCAGATCCAAGAGGCACGGAGTACGGTGTACCAGTGACAACATGTAGTAAAAGTGGGATACCTAGTAAGCCCTCGTGGGGGTGGCTTGGCATATCCCACTTCTCATCCTCCATCTCCTTGATAATATTCCCTCTTCGATATATCTCCGTGAACAGTATAAGCGTAAGTACGGTGACAACCTAGATTCCACTCGAATCGCACTTGCACACGAATAACCCGTTTAATGAGTCTGACATCTCTCAGTTCCCAAATAGCGGTGTCCACTCCATCACCGATCGGCATGTCTGAAATTCAGAGGTGGACGGTCAACGAAGTCAGTATTCCATGCGGTTCGCCATTTGATTCGCTCTTTTTGTTTATTTCTTTTTTCTCGCTCTCCTCTGGTTCTCGTGTCGGTCAGACGTGACGATTATCCTCCCGAGCGTATCACAGAACAGGAAAAAAGAAAAAAGAAAAAGAAATCTACGCCAATCACAGACAACTAACTCGACTAGCCGTATCTCGACATCCCAGGAACACTGCTCGAAGGGCCCTTTCACGATGTGGCCAAAAACGAGTTCCGGTTTGTGGATATCTGGGATCACAAACTATATCGCCTCGATCTGACAAAGGGTCCTGACTCCTTGACGGCCATTGATACTGACGCCGCTGTTGGGTGGGTTCCCAACCGTTCTGGAAATCAACTAAAAATTCACTTTTGCTGACGGGGAAAAACCACGTGGGACTTTTAGCGTCACCGCCAATATTGCCAACTCATCCAATCAGCTGATTGTGGGAGCCAAACATGGATTCGCCCGGCTGGACCAGACTACCGGGAACCTCTCCTATATCCACGGTAATCGTGAACTTTGGGGCGAAGATGAGGGGAAAGCAGAGAGGTAAGGGTTTGAAAAAGAAGAAAAGGAAAGAATCCACAGCTACGTCTAAGAACGTCGACTAACATCAACCCCAATTGTTACAAAATGTAGGATGCGTTTCAATGATGGTGCTGTGGACAGCCACGGCCGGTTCTGGGCCGGGGCCATGAACGACCCAAAGATCAAGAAGCCGGAAGCAGAAGGGGTCCTATTCAGACTGGATCCAGATCAGAGTGTGCACCACATGCTGGCACCGGTGACGATCCCCAACGGGATCGGGTGGAATCAAGCCGACGACGTGATGTACCTGACGGATTCACCGACAGGCAAGATCTTTGCCTTTGACTTTGACGCTTCCACCGGCGCGATCAGCAACCGCCGAGTGCATTTCGATATCGGCAATGCGCTAGAGCCGGATGGCTTTGCCATTGATGTCGAGGGCTGCATCTGGAGCGCTGTCTACGGCGGCGGAAAGGTCCTGCGCATTTCCCCGGCCGGAAAGGTTATCGGTCAGATCGATCTTCCGACGCGCAACGTGACCTGTCCAGCCTTTGTCGGCACAGAGCTGTTTATCACTACTGCCAAGGATGATCGTGATGATGACCGGCTGCCGCAGTCGGTTAGGTATGGCGGCCGGGTTTTCAGGGTTGATGTCGGGGTCCGCGGCGTGCCTAAAAATGAGTTTCGGTTTCAGGACTAGGGTGTATCGTGTGCATCAGACATCCTTGGATACATAGCTGCATAGTGCATGGGACTCCGTACTTCGTACATACATAGCACATACATACTGCCGGGATGGTACATGCTTAATTCGATTTGGTATATTCTTATTCTACTCCATACCTCGGCATCCAATGCGACGTGTATCCGTACAACGTAGAGCAGAAGGATCAATTGCGCATCACTAGTACTTTGCACGTCCCCCAAAAATTAGATCCAAAAGGCGGTATTGGTAGCTAACCCGAAAAAAAAAAAACACAGACGACAATTCCTATGCAGCGTAAAGCTAGGTGGATCGAGGATCAGCAAACGGGCGAGCACGTCGGTCCGCGCTGTCATTGTCCGGACACCTGGGTCTGGGTAGTCTTCCACTGCAGGCCACGCAAGGGACAAAAACCCAGGTTTATAGATCGAATCGGCGTTCGCATTTCCATCTCACATCCTGTCGACCATATACTCCATACGTACATGCAATTGTTAATATAGGACTTGGCCTTGATTCCCCTGGTTTCCGTTCGGTTTCGAACTCGGCTGGATTTCGGTCGAGGCTAGGTAGCGCGTGGGCACCAGCACTGCCACCTCTTTTTTTTTCCCTGGCGGGGCCCGCCCTGCAGGGCGGAGGCACGAAGTGATAGGTGGTGTATCGCAATGTGCTGTGCTTTTTTCCCGCTGTTTTCGGACTATGTGGGTGGGTTGATCCGAAGGGGGAACATCTACCGTACCTGTCAGCGGGAGATATGCCAATCTAGATCCGACAAAGCTATTCTTCTGCTTTTTCAGGGAAAATGCGGTTGCAGCGGACACGAGATAATCGGAGATCCGTGCGGTGAGGCCGAAGCAGATCATAAAAAGGGGGGACAGCGTTATCCACTTCCGAAGTGCAGAGTCAACACCTGAATTTTGGAAAAGAAAAAGAATCGGGTTCTCGATGAATCCATTCTAATTGATTCCGGATCTTTTAACTTCTTCGGCTCTGCACAATTCAAATAGTTTGATGTCACGCATCCCGAAGGTATCTCGGGGATAACCAGACTCAATGGTCTGGGGACGGCGGTTTGAGATTGTCAGCCACAAGTTGGCAGAGAGCACAGCCCTACTCCATACGGAGTAAGGAGCAGAACGAAGAGAAACGTGGAATTCGCTTCCAAATTCTCTGGGGAACATCTTAGCCCTGTTTGATCCAACCAGTCAGAACCACTGGATCTATCAGACCGCAATTGTCTGTCGAATATGCATGATTCGCCTGAAAAAAAAGAAAAGAAAGAAAAAGCAAAGGAACAATAGCGGGGACTCTGCTACAGCAAAAGACTGACAGCTCCTCTAACCCTGTCGGAAGCGACCTCGGCACTTGGACATTGCCAACACATCGAAAGAAAATATATCATACGTTGTCCGTACAGCTTACCCACTTGTAGAGTCGGAAGATGGAACCCCATATTGGAATGCGTGGAGATCATGGCGTCTTTTCGGACAATGCTTCAATATCTCGGCAAGATCAAGCCAAAACGCAAGTGCCAAGAAGAGGCGCTTCAGCTGTGGCAGCGCCAGCTCGCCTATCTTATGAAATCATGAAAGCAATTTATTTTCCATTCAAAGAATCCACTTTGGTGCAGTGCGTCCAGACTACGGAGTACGAAGTCGACACTAAAGCGATCTCCACTGCTTATTTGAGGGTCGCCACGCGGAGTCTTTATCCCGTGACCTCGGACAAGCTCGACAGCCTCCGGGAATAGAGCTATCCACACGGGTTTCTCATGCAGCTCATGCGGCTAGTGGAATCCTGGCCGGATCCCTTTCCGCTTGGTCCGATCGTGGAGCGTCAAATCGGTTGTGATAGAGAAGAGGTGTGTCCCCTGGTTGCTGTTTACCTTTCTGTTTATTTACTTTCGGGTTCCAAATTACATCATTTTTCAGCGGACTATCAATGTCACACCAAGGGGTGAAACGAAGTGGGTTTTAAGTTGTCTCGTCTGGTGTCTGTTCTCTGCGTTACCCTGTTCCATGACGTCAAGTAGATACCAAGGTATAGATTGTACAAACCTTGACCTCGAAACTTCAAAGGCACGGAACTCTGCCAGATACCAACGGTCAACGGCAACGGCCCTTTAACCGGGACACGGGGAAGATTTGGTGATGCACAACATGCATGTATTATAAACCTTGCGAAAACATCCTTTCTTCCTTTCTCCCTGTGTACTTTTTTTATATCCCACCCTTTCTATCTAGATTAATAGTATCTCGGGAATTTAGTCTCTCCAAGCACCAAACTCTCGGAAATTGACAGGACGGCTTACTAGGCTTGCCAGGCAACTATTGGGGATTGCCTGACTAACTATACCCGAGTGGGTATAGATCGGACAGGTGGAAAATGGAGTAGTTCGGCGTTTCTCTTTTACTTAGATTGCCATGCGTCATCCGTTGACTCCCAGAGAAGAGAAAAGGAACCTTCTAGGTCCCCCATATTGCCATCCATGGATACTATCCTCCACTAACGCCCTTCTACCCGTGGACGCTTCAAACCTACCACACTTGACTCCCTGAAAATCCAAAAGGAATTAATGAATAAATCGAAAGAGGCAAAAACCAAATAAAAAAAACAAACAAAAAAAAAAAGGTCTCCACCTGTCCCTGTCCATGTCCATGGTGACGGCGCACACTTGCAGCTCCCGATGATTCGTGCTGTGCATGACGATCGCTTTCCCCGGGTGCTTAGGTCCTTTCCTAGATGTGACTAGGGGAGGATGACTCTATAGCTGGATTCGGTAATGGCCTATAATAGGGGGTGATATCGGTCACTCTGACAGATTGACAGATTGGACGTATTCTATATCTACTTCGATATTGATTTTGATTTGTTTTGATTTGATTTTCCTTTCTTTTTCTATTTTAGCATGGCAATTATTATTAAAAACCAAAACTAAAATAAAAAGGCCCAAAAACAAAAATAACAAAAATAAAAAAATAAGCCCAATACTCCGGGGGTTAGAGGTCTCCATAGGAGATGCCCAACTATCCGCCAGACTGGGTCGGACAAGAGACAACTAAGTTGTCTTGGAGCCATCCAGACCAGGTGATGGATCATTCTCTCACCGCTGCGAATTCCAACGGTTGTTCTTAAGCTTGCCCCATTTTCCAATTTCCTCACTTTCCCTGACTTTGTCGCTTTTGTCACTTTGCCTAGCTTTTATTAAGGGCCTCGGATCCTTTCCCCATCTTTCTAGCTTCCTTAGCTTCCTTGTATTGATTATCTTTCCTCGATCCTCAATTGAGTGAATCGAGTCTCTTGTTCTATATATCCCTCTCACTCTATTCATCGTGGCGGCCTTAGGAATCAGTGTGTTGACTGCACCGTATTCGGGCTCACATTCCCTCAACCTGTCACTCTATTCAGATCGATATCCATCGCCGTCACCCTCCCTCTCTCACACTCCTCGAGAACCCAGCGACGAGGAGAGAGGGGGGTTCCGGTCATGCCCTAACTCCCGCCCCGTCGTGGGAGATTTGCTTTCTATGTCGCAGGATTCTCGACGTGCTGGTTCATTGTCCAGAGATGTGACTCAAACTGATGACCGTGGAAGTGACAATGACCGTACCTTCAATCGAAATCCCACCCGCCGGCCACCTCAACGACCTCGGCCCCAGTCATGGCATCCATATGGACCCGTGGAGCCACCACTGGAATCCATGTCGTCCCGACCCATTGGCGTTCATGCCATCTTGAATCATCCACAAGCAACGGCTGACCTGGCCGGCCGTGAGCCACTGAGCCTAGCCGGTCCATCATCCTCACCTCGTCCCCAAGGGACCTCGCCCATAATCCGTTCAGGATATGCATTGACGTCGCAGCCGCTATCTCCTTATTCACGGCCTCTGATGAATCCAGCATCGCCTTCGGCGCGGTTTGTCGGCGGGGGCGGCAGGGCTTCTGGTCAGTCCAGTGTCGCCCAGTCACCACTACTTCCTCATGAACCTTTGATGGGCCCACGCCTACCCGTCACTAGTTCGCCTTTGCCCATGGATACGGGCCTACGCTCAATAGCACCTCTCACTAGCACTCAGCCTCTGGCCTCGCTGCATTCTACCAGTATGCATTCCAGGCGAATTAGTGCCGGCCCGGGGCCTCCCAGCAACCTGAAATCCCAAGAAACGAGTCCTATCACGTCTCATTCACCTTTCAATCACTTTGGCCATGCATCCCCAGCAGTGACCAGTGTCTCCCTCGCACAAAGCACCGCATCATATCCTACTGCGCCTCAATATATGACATTGGACCCTGTGGTTCGAACCGTCTCCACAACAAAAGGCCCCAGACGCCAACCTGAGCAACACCCCACCCGAGCCGGAACACCACAGGATAGTCCCCTTCCACTGGGCATGATACCATGCGTACTAGACATGCGATCCGGCTCCTCCAGCCAAGCCGAAAAGCGCAAAGCTAACAGCGACGCATCACGACGGTTCCGCAATCGCAAGCGCAACGAAATGCAACTGGAGCAGCGGCTCACCGCACAGCAGGACGAGATCCAGCGCAATGTAGAAACCGTCCGTCGCCAGAGCGAGGAGATCCGCTTCCTCGTTCAGCAACGAGACCACTACCGCTCCGAGCGAGACTTCTACCGCGACCAACTCGGCCGCACAATGTCTCTGAGCGCCTTACCCCCCAGACCCTCCTCTCCACGCTCCGCCCAACCAACCCTCCTCCCTGCATCCGAACCGGGCACCACGACATCTTGGTCGGGTGTCGATGCTGCCCGATCCGCTTCAGGCACACAGCCGACCTCCAATCCGCCCCAGCGAAGGATGCTCGAATCGGTTCAGTCTCAACCTACTTGGCCTGCAAGTCCTCCGTATTCTTCAACCCCCATTGCACCCGCCGGACGGGCGGTTGCTGGCCCGCATTCCCGGTCGCCGTCGCTATCTGGGGGCCAACTGCCTCCACTGCAAGGATCGTGGTCACGTCCTTGATTTGAGTTTGCCGGCTGCCGAATCAAGCGACAATTATTATTTCTTTCACTCTTGTCTTTTTCTCCCTTTTCCTTACACTCTTAATCCTCCTCTCTCTTGTGTATGCCACTGCTACCAGGAGAGACAAACAAGCGGTCACTGGCATGGCCGCTCGCAGGTGGTCTACACTCCTTTAGTGAGGTGGTCTACTCAAAAGTGCCTCTTCCTTCAGGCTGGGTGTGTATAACTATCTGCATTTCTTCCTGTCCTCATCAAAAGACTCGTCTGGTCCTGCAAAAGTGCAATTTATACTTTGTATTCGCTGTCATTATATTACCCTGTACCCTGTCTTACTTCCTCATCCTGTCCCTCTGCTTTGATTCTTCTCGCTCTCTCTTTGTGTATGGATTGCACAGCGGTGATACCTCCATCGGCGATGTATTAAATCATCATTTTTGATTCAAGTTGGAAGATATTTGAAAACTGGAAAGCCCAATATGACAGTTTTTACCACTTAATTGTTGAAATCCTACCTAAACATCGTAATACCACCATCTGAGGACTCAATCGCCGAAGCTGTCTAGACGTATCTAGGAAACGCTTGGATCGAGGTCTTAGAAAGCTTAGCTTGCCATGTAACTTTGAGACATACAATACTAGGAAGTGATTGGTCTATGGGTAACACAGGCTAAGGTAGCACAAGGTGGTTCATATGACATCATAAACACATATAGGACCTATCTAAATGGGCAGGATGTAGATAATATATTCACAGGTGCTACCCTAGTTCTAAATATCTCTATGGTCTTGATCTATGAAACTATTCATAATTAATAATAATGAAGTACAACTTAGTGACTATCTGATTGGTCCGTGAAGTTCCGGTGGAAGCCTTTCTTCCACCGGAAGTTCCTCCACTCACCGAAATCTCCAAGCAGTTAAGAGTCCAGACGACACTCGGCACAGCCAATTATCGCCAAGAAAACTTCTCGGATCCTCGAAATGCGGGGCCCCGAGTTTCCCCACGGATGACGGGTCTTTCTCGTATTCCTCTCATATTAAGGCAATCCTCACAGTAACTACAACATACAAAGTCGGGCTAAGAAGAAAACAACATCATCATAAGAGTGGATTGCAGTCAAACTTCAGTGCGAAACCGATATCGGTTCACGTGTTGTCGCAGTCAAGTTCTTCCAACACTGTCCCCAATCAAGGTAAATTTTTCCGAGTTCCGAGAGAGGAGCTACTCTAGAGGTTCCCTAGCGCTAATCCCTTTTGCAGCAAACGGAGGAAGCGACCGGGGTCCGTTCCGATGGATCTACCATCCTCTCTTACTCTTCTGGAGGCCTTCTCCAATGCCGAGGATGTAGACCGGTTGAACGGGAGCCAGGTTGATCTAGGTAGGACACTTCCGCCAAGCATATCCCCAATCCCCGCATCGTCGCTGACGTTTCTAGATGCCTTCGGACAGTTCGTTGCATCGGGGAGTAAGCCGATATCTCAACCACATATGACCTTGACGAACCATGTGCCCCAGACATATCCCTTAGACAGTTATCTCACGACGATAAATGAGCTGCTCTCGCCGCCGACCCCGGATCTGATTCTAGGGGAGCACAATCAGCCCTTCGAACTGCAGCGAACCTTCGAAACTCGGCTTCCGAATCTCTCTGAAGAAAGTAAAAATTATCTACACTTGAAAGGAGCTCTCAGGATAGTTCCCGTCGACCTCCGGAATGAGTTGCTGGGGGCTTATATCAAATATGTCCATCCTCTCCTGCCTGTCATTGATCTGCAATGGTTTTTATCAAGTGTCATGGTCGAGGATGAATCCCGATTTCCGAGCCCGCTTCTTCATCAAGCTGTCATGTTGGCTGGCAGTGCATTTATTGAGCAGGAAGCTGCCGTTAAAGCTGGGTTCTCGTCACGGAAGGCATTGCGAAGAACATTATTCGGGCGAGCCAAGGTGAGATTGAAGAAGACAGAATCTATGACAAGTCAGGACTAATCTCAACTCTATCACCAGCTTCTTTATGAATTCGAGACCGAACCAGACGCATACACCCAGATCCAAGCATTATTGCTCATGATGCAGTGGCATGGAAGTGGAGTTGGCCACAAAATCCCAACATACTGGTTTGATCTCGCGTATTCCACAGCAGAGCGCGTCGGTCTCCTTGGGAGTCTAGAAACAGGTAGTTTTTCTCACAAGCACAGACTATGGTGGTGTCTCTATGTGCGCGACCGCATTCTCTCCCTCGGTTTCCGTCGACCACTACGAATCCCAAACAGCGATGTCACAATGTCCCTATTGGAATCTACGAGATACTATTCCTCCGAGCCGTACCACGACCTCGTGCTGGTTATGCTGGGAGAAGCAGCCGCCATGCTCAACTGGGAAAATCAAGAGCGGATGATGCTTCTATTCATCCAGGAGATTAAGCTTGCTCATTGCGTGGGCGTCATCATCAATCTTCTGTATCAAGATGCTTGGTCGCCGTCGCCGTCGGGGGACTGTAAATACTCCATGGTAGCCAAGTCGAATGTGCCACAGGCTGCCATAACCGAATGCGAACAGCTTCTGAAGACCTGGATTGAGGACCTTCCTGCCCCGGCACATTATTTCTCCCCGTCACTCTTGCACGGTTGCTATACCGAGTCTCCGGAGATTGTCCTCCTCGTCCACCAGGCGTTCCTCTATCTCCTCCATCTCACTACAATGTCAGTACTCTACCAAGATGCGTCGAGCAGAGGAGATGGTCTCCAGACGACCCTTATCTCGGAAATGAGAGGCCTGACTTCGCAAGTCAACGAGATTCTCAATGAGCTACATGACTGCAGGATCCTTCATTTTCTCCCTGGAAGCACTATTACTATACTGATTATTATTCTGGAGGCAAGCCTTCCTGACCTGAAGGTTTCGGATGATATTGTGAGGATGCAGGCCATGTCGAACTTGTATGCCTGCGAGGAAGCGGCTGGGTATTTACTACAAACATATCCTGCGGCTGAGATTGTTCTTTCACGGGCGCAGAATGCTCGTGGACATCTCTTGGGTTTGACCGCAACTTGATTGCGGAGCGAAGCGAAGCAATTATACGATTTAAAAAAGCATTTAGTCATTTTAGCGTACACAGAATGAAACCAATCAAGATACTATTATTTCTAGGTTGTTGATATTCGTACCTCCTGCCTGAGATTTGAGTACCGCCCCTTCCTAATTAGGTGCAACCAAGAATACTGCCATATATTCTGCCCAATTCTTGTTTACATGGTGAAAGAACATGCATTATTCTGCCTGATTCCTATATGATTTAACCCCCTGATGATAAAGCAGTTGATGAAGCAGTTGTACCTATAGGATACGATATGACAGGAGTGACTTACTTCTATTAGGAGTTTACATACAAATTGTAGGTACCTGCTGTCTTACTGCTTTTAACATAAGAGCGGTGTAAAGCCAGAAGGCGGTGTGCATGATCTATACCCAATTAGGAAGGTACGCCTAAATTCTCAGGCAGGGGGTACGAATGTTATCCAAAGGGGGGTATCCCGAAATTGCGGGGACCCGGTTGTGAGCCCGGTGACACCCGTTTTGAATTGGCTAAAGCACCAACTTGCTATATTCATGGAGCAAAAGACTAGTGTGGTGCAAAAGCCACCCCGTACATCGCGAGAATGTGACAGATGTCTCAGCCAGAAACTCAAGGTAGATCCCTTCATAACACCCCTGATTAACTATGGTTCTGACAGTGTTCGCATAGTGTGACGGCGCACATCCTTGTGTGCTCTGTACTCGCGCCGGGGATAAATGCGAGACAACCCAGCGCAGAGCGAGACGGACCCGCGGACAAAATCCAAGGGGCAGACGTCGACATATGAATTCTGGAGTACACAGAGCAATCGCACCAGCGCCACCGAAAGATTCTAACTCGATCCATGGTGCTGGAGTAGCTGAAACAGCTTCTGCCCCAGAGAGCTCAACTTCCTATCCGGAACACCCTCCGAAAGAGCTGCCTCCCGGTGCTAATGCCTCCTATCCGGAAGGCTCTCCGGAAGAGCTGCAGTCTGGTGCTAATGGTTTCGCGATTGACTTCGCCAGACAAGTCTTCAACGAGGAAGAGGCTGGCCGGACTCTGACCGGTGCATCGATCCCTATCCCTGATGATACGGAAGCTCCTACGTTGGACAACTCATTATGGCATCATCCGACAGAGGTAGAGCTTCCCCCGGAGGCCGTGATATTAGCCTTGGTTGACGTCTATTTCGACCGTATGCAATGGTTTATCTTGCTGCTTCACGAGCCCTCGTTCCGGCAGACTGCACGCAGGATAACTTCCCAGACTGTTTGGAGACGCCAAGATCTCAGTACTACCATGCTTGTCCTGGCAGTGGCTATGATCGGGCTGCATTCGGTCTTACCAGATGATAGATGGCCTGGGCATGAATTGTTGCGAGAATACTCCGTTGACGGGGAGAAGTTGATGCACTATTTGAACAATGAGATACAACGGAATCTACTTGATATCTCAATCGATTGTCGAATCGAAGCTGTCCAGGTTTGCCTCCTGGTTTCCTCCTATTATATTTACCATAGATCGCCGAGTCTTGCTTGGACTGTCTCTGGTATGGGTGTGAGGTCTGCCTATGCCCTTCATCTTTATACGAAATCAGTCCAATATGAAAGTCCAGTTGTGGATGAAATTCGCTCTCGTTGTTGGAACCATGCTATTTCCAGCGACACGTTTGCGTCTGTCATATATGGGAGACCTTGTTCTATCGACACTGAGCTTGTCGCTTTGCATTCGCCCAGAGAAATGGACGACCTAGCCATTGATCCACTTCTGCTGAAAAATGAATGGATATTTGGCGATGGGATGCCAAAAACGACAGCTGGATTTTTCGCTATGAAATATGAGATCTACAACATCATTCGAGACATACTTTCACGGTTTCGTCGTCTTCAATTGAGAAAAGAGACAATAGAAGAGGACCTTCTGGCACTTGTGGAAGCTGCACAAGACTCAGAGGAACAATTAGTTTCCTGGAGGAAAAGGGTTCCTCGGCTGTTTGATTTCGAGTTTTGGAGCTGCGACAATCGCCTAGAGCAGTTCCAACGGCAAATCGAAATGTTACCGCAACGCACTAAATATCAAGCAGAAACGATCATCTTGCAGGCGGCAATACTCCAACTAACATACGATGGAGCTCTGATACAAGCCCATCGACCTTTACTTGAGCAGAAAATCACTAGTTCTTGCTCGCGCTTGGTGGTAGACGCAATCCACGAGTCGTTCCGGGTGGCCACTGCAGCTGCACTACGAATATCTCACATTCCGGTCCTCCGTTTCAAGCATCATTTCGCCGAATCCTTCGCCTCCCTACAGCAATTTACTGCAGGAGTCATCCTTTGCATCCTGCCAACTAGTCAACCTTTTACTTCAGCTGCACACGAGGCCAAGGCTGGAATCATACGTATTATCCATGCTAGCTCAGCTTTCGGGCCCCGCAATCGCATTGCCAAGCAGACCGTACAGCTTCTGACAGAGTTGCTGAAAGTAACTGTCGATCGAGAGATGTCCAGCGCCTTGAGACGCGGGGTGGAAACAATTATTCCCAGGCGTATATCTGAGAGGGGTTCCATTCTGAATGCGCAGCCGCGTATAGACCATACAAGGAGTCATTCACTATCCTCACGAGATGTCTCCCTCGATCATTCTTCAACGTCGACAATCCACGCACTGCCCCAGGCAATACACGACCATAGTAGGGTAAACGACCGAATAGCCCAAGCATCCGTCAAACCGCCTGAATACCCGTCTGCCAATATCTTCGAACAACTTGACGATACATTCGCTGCCTTTGGTGAGCGTGAGTGGAGCCGAGGTGCGATCAGTGAGCAGGGATTCTAACTAACGCGTTGATAGGCATGTTCAATCTGATATCTGATGATCAGAGTAGTGCTTGGAATTGGGGCCGTACGGTGCCATAACAGAGAATCAGAATTGTATGAACAGGCGGAGTTGATATAATAGCTGGTCTACAGAATTGACGGTTGTGAGGGCTAGCAGGGCTAGTATGGGCGTGAGCAAATGGTTCAAAAAGGCCATGAGTAGAGGGAGAAGGATGTGAAAACAAGCCAGGAGAAAAGGCTTTCTTGGTCCATATTAGTTGCTTTGGCTTTAGAGGGTTAGAGAGACTTGGCTGTTACAATGCTGAGGAAGTACAGTTCTTGGAATTGGTGGTCAAGGGAGAATAAGGGGATGGTTTCTATAGATATCTTGAAGGGAGTTTTATGCTAAATACAGTCCCTAGAATCTCTTTTATCGCCAAATCAAAGAGAAGCTACACTATCAAATAGTCTGAGGACAGTAGCACTGAGCACATGGCGTGATAGTGTTTGGTTTCTATAACTGTCCAATGTCACCCAAGAAACAGAATTGAATTTTATACATCCCTCTTTTCTCCTAGACATAAGTTGAAGTAAAGTGGCAGGGTGCATACTTGCACTACGAAGAGAGCCCAAAATGGTTGTATTAAACATCATGTAGTGTAACAAATGTATTTCAGATTTACCTTCTATAACTAATCTTGGAACTATATACTTTTTCTTTGTTGTGATGTTGCTTGTCTTCTACGTATCACATCTTTTAAGTGCAATCCGTTTTCCGCATTAGGCTTTTGCTATATGTGTGGTACTGTAAAGACGAGGCCACTCCTATTGCTCAGGCAATGTTTGCCAGACCTCTCCTTGCCCCTATTCTACCTGATTCCGTGTCTCCATAAAATTACCTTAGAAACTTCTTGGCAATGAGAGATCTACACATCTACCATGTCTATCGGCCACACTACCTCCTTTCTAGGCAGACTGTTCTAGATACCTACAAGTCTATACGAGTAAAACTCGACCTATGCTTAGGATCCACATGTGGACAAGTAGACTACAAAGAGGAAGAAACATAAGGGCATGAACTTCACATTACGCAACCATAGCTGAGAAAGATGCGAAAAAAAATAGCACACAAGAAAAACATGGTATGAGATACGGAAACTCAGCCGGAAGACAAAATCCAGAAAACCCATATCAAGATATCAATTAACTAAGCCTCATGAGAATAACAAAATGCTATTTCAACGCTTGTAGTAGAAAGAAAGAAAATGCCATCGGCACGCAAGTCCATTCTAGGAATGCGCTTAGAGGGCAAAAGCGGCGATGACACCGGCCATGACGGCACCGAAGCTGATGGCGTTGCGGCCAGCGCTGTTGAAGACAGGGGTGGCCGAAGGAGAAGCGGTGGGGACAGCGCTGGTGGTGAGACGGATGGAGGTCAAGGGGGTGCTGGTGGGGGGCTTGACGGGGGAAACACCAGTGGGGGTGACCTTGGGGGCGGGAGTAGTGGCGAAAGTAGTAGCAACAGTGGTGGCAGCGGTGGTGGCAGCGGCAGTAGTCTCAGTCTCGGGGCAGATAGTGGTGGTGATCTCGGTGCTCTCGATAACGGTGGACGCAGCAACCGGGGTGGAGGCGGAAGCGGTGGTCTCAGTGGTCTCGAGGGTGGAGCTAGCGACGGAGCTAGTGGTGGAGGCAACGCTGGCGCTGGAGCTGGAGACAACAGCGGCGGAGATACCGAACTGGGTGGAGTACTGGTACTGGCCGGTACCCTCAACAACGAGGAGCAGACCGTAGTGGGTGACGTCGGCCTCCAGGTCAGCGCTAGGAGTCCAGCTGAACTCGCCGCTGTTGGGGATGGACTCGGCAAGAGTCTCGAGGGGGAGGACGTTGGTGGAGGGACCGCGCAGAAGAATGAGGGAGATAGGGCCAACAGTGGTGGGAGTCCACTTGATGGTGTAGGCCTTGCCCTCGGGCACGATCTCATTCAGACTAGGGTAGATGATGGCATTGCCGCTGGGCTGCTGGTTGTAATCAGGAGCAGTGTAGGCAGCAGCCAGAGCCACGAAGGCAGAGAAAGCGGTGGCGATGGTGAAACGCATGATATAGTGTCGAGATTGACAAAGAGTGACTGGGGTGAGGTTAAAAGAATGACTATCGTTGAAGAACGAAAAAAATGATTTCGTTGAAGAACGAAAAAAATGATTGTGAGTGGAATGGAGAGAAGAGGAAGAAAGAAAGCGAGAAGGAGGGGAGATGAACTACTTTGTACATTTCTAGTTTGGAGGTGCATGCAAAAGTGGGGCCGACATTAAAAGCCCCCAAAACCAAAAGAACGCGCAGACCAACCATATTGCATCCCATTTCGGCTACATTTTACTTTGTGTGGCTGGACTTGTATTGTAAATACCTATCACACTGACGCTATACCGTCATTCTGTTGTATCATTTGCAGTCTCGTGCCCAATTATGCACCATCTTATCCTCGTGGGGCATGCGGGCCGGCTGTGGCTCAGATGTTATTAGAACAATTATGTATAATATCATGCTGTACGTGACGGGTCAAGTAATGATCAGAACCAGGTACCGTTTCTAATTGGTGGGTCCCCCAAAAGTTAATTTTATCCCTAATAACGGCCGACCCTTAATGTAGATAATGTTCCGGTAGGGAAGATTAAAAGTACCACTAAACTGGGTCTAAGGGAGAAGTATTAAAAAGCATTAGAAAGTATTCACAAGCATTTACAAGTATTAATGAAATAGGAATGAAGGTATACGAGACAAAGACAGGGTAAGGGGAGTCTCTGTTGACATATTTGTTTATCTTTTTAAAGCTTTCAAGGTTCCAAGGTTCTGCCAATACCAACCCGTGGAACCCTTGGCGACCAAAACCTTCGAAGATGATCCGACGATAACCCACGGTAGCCATAGCCCTTCAGAACATCTTATATATATATGTAGCTATTGTAGATATGTTTGTACTATAAGCAATCAAATGCATATACTTCTCAAATTGCAAGGCATTCATGATCCTCATTTCCACCGTGTTTAGGAAAAGAGGAATCGCTAAATCTTCGGAGATTGCAAGATTACGAGATTGCGCCCTCAAGCCTAGGCCCAATGACAGCGTCGTACGGGTATTGTACCATACAGCCGCACAGGGCGCTGTGCCTTGCAGGTACCATGTGTCCTTTCTACGGGGGAAACAAGATTTCAAACTGAACCTGCAGGGTAAGATTCTGATATTCACTGATGTTCACTGATATTCACGATTATCACGTCAATCGCAACATAACTCCACACCGATAGGCCCGTGCCATATCAAAAACTACAACATACATACAATCGCCGATCACACCAGTTCATTATTAGGGTTGTGATGTCTATGGGAAGGATCAACTTGATATTCAGGGGTCGAAGTTGACCAGCTTGTATAGAGTGATACATAGTATCCTATGTTGTTTACATATTGTAATCCTTCATTTCCTACTAAGACATGTAAAAATGAAAAATCAAAATACGAATAAAGACTGGGTTTGTCTCACCTAGCAATTCGCGGTGATTTGCTACGTTCCTGTGCCTGAATTTAGGGTGGGACTTGTGCCAAGCCGCAACTATCGAGGTTTGAATGTTTCTTAACCGGGTCTCAGGCTGGAATCCCACCACATTAGGTCTATTCATAGGCTCAGCCCGTCGCTTATTACGAGACAGGAATTTTTAGCTTTTGTCTGAGGGGGAAATGTGAATCACATGACGTTCAGCCTCATGGCAAAAGTGGGAGCCAAAAATAAAAAACGAAGAGAAAAAAAATACCAAAATACCAAAACATCCCATAGACTAGTCATATACTACTTCGTATGCTGCACGCCCGATGCAACATAAATCACACATCGAGTCATTCAACCCCGGGTACCCGGACCCCTTCTGTACAACTAGCACCTCTAGGCGACGTGAAGTGCTCGTCATTGGCTGCATTGACAAGGTTCGGATCCAAGCCAACTAAACCCCAACTTGGCTCCAAACAAGCCCCGACCAAGCCCTGTCAAAACAACCAGGGAAACCTTCGCCCGTGGCGGCCCAATCTCACCGGGGACCAAGCGGACCTAAAATGGGGCCGAATCGAACAGGTCTGCTATGCACCTATGAGTCTACCTCTACTCTTCCCAAGTGACAGTCTTAGTCTGGAGGAATTCGTCGAATCCAGCAATTCCTCCGAAGCGACCAAAGCCGCTGCTCTTCCATCCTCCGTGGGGAAGGACAGCCTCGTCGTGGACAGTCATAGAATTGATATGAACGGCTCTAAAAAAAAAGACCAAAGTTAGCCTCAATTCAATCTCCACCCGTGGATGTGATCTGTATTCGGAACTCAAAAACCCACCCAGAGTCAATTTGCTTAGCCACCCGTAATCCGCGGAACAGGTTGTTGGTGTACAGAGCCGCAGTCAGGCCGTATTCGGTGTCATTGGCCAGCTCGATCGCTTCGTCCTCGGTGTCCACCACCATGAGCGACACGGTCGGACCGAACGACTCGGTCGCGTACAAGTCCATCTCCTTGGTGACGTCGTCGACGACGATCGGCCGCATACCTGTGTTAATGTATTCGCTTGCATTGGCGTCGCCATAGAGCAGCTTAGCTCCCTGAGACACGGCGTCCACCACAAGCTTCTTGTTCTTGGCGACGGCTGCAGCGTTGACCAGGATTAGCGCGGGCGCGTCCTTGCCGAACAACTTCTCAGTCGTCTCTGCAAGTTTCTGTCGGAACGCATCTGCGATCGAGCGCTGCACGACAATCCGCTCGGTCGCCATGCAGACCTGACCGGACTGTGTATTGTGTCAGTGTGATATCATAGTCTCGAATGAACATTACGTACGTGCATGAAGGATCCAAGGGCACAGTTCATGGCAGCCCTGTCCAAGTTCGCATCGTCCAAAACAATCGCGGACGCCTTACCGCCGAGCTCGAGAAGCACAGGCTTAATGTGTTTGCCCGCGAGAGAAGCGATAATCGACCCGACTCCTGTGCTACCGGTGAAGTTCACCTTGCGCACAGCCTGGTGGGCGATGAGCGCGTTGGTGACGGCCGGGGCATCGGAGGGCTGGTGGAA